ATACTGAATTTATATGTTAGGTTTTATGCTTTTTATTTCTACCTTTGTTAACAGAGTAAAGTATAATCTAAACAATAAGTCTAATCTTACTTTTTTGTGTCTTGTCATTTAGGGCCTGTTCCTTATGACAATCTGCTCTCCACCAAAGACAGTAGAAATGGATGGGAGGTGGAAATGAGCAATGCCATCATTACACCTCAGCTTAAGGTAGTTTAAGACGTGGAAGTGCAGTCTTCATCGTTTAGTGTTTATTCACTTGTTCATGATAGGTCTTGTTTCTCCACAGAACTTGGATAGACAGCTAAAAGAAGTGAACGCATTTATCCGAGCTGACACTCGCATCTCTGCCAACCCGATCATGAAGCTTGTGTTTGGTGAACCTAGTCTCTTCTTGAATTCACTTCCTCCAAATTCTCTGATCCATTGTTCTGCTGTGTGGAGCTGCAGGGAGAAGGTGTCCCTGCTGAGCCTCACGCACATCGTAGAGCAGAATGATGGCAAAGATACTGTTCCTGTGCTGTGGAGATTTCTGCACAAGGTGAGAGAATAGCCACGAAACGTGTGTTTTGCATTGTGTTTCCTAAACAGTTACTGTACTTATTGAACTGTGGCGTGGTAGTATTTAACTGTTTAACTTTGTTTTATTTCTATTCTGAATCTAAAGTACATTTTCTGCAGAGCTAAAACAGTATGAGACCCATCACATCAAAACGAGGGTTAAGTCCAGGTATATGGAGAAATAGGCAAATATAGTGTTTTGACTGAAATGTTAACAAAAATTGCATTTTGTCAAAATATAATGAATTAACGCCTTGTCAATGTATAATTTGAATAAACGGTCTGAAATATAATCATATTGTTTCCTTTTAGCTGGGAAATTTTAGTGTTCAAATATAATTTGAGGTTTCCTCTTTATAAGGACATCAAAAATTCCTCATTAAAATTACATAAAATTAGTATTCAGACCAAATATTTATGTATTATTGTAACCAACAAGACAAATTAAGTCATATGGATTTAACTATGATATCAGAATGATCCAGGTATCAAAGTGTAGCTTTTAAAGCCACAAATTTGAAAATGTAATTAGGTCATTTTGACCAAATTTGACTTAATCCTCATTTCGATATGATGGGTCACATATAGTGTTGAAGTTATATTTTTAGAAATCGTGTAATTTTTACTATAGAGTTGGCCAACTTGCAAATAATTTATTATTATTTTTTTCTTTTTTGAAAATGTCCTTCGTATATGATTGATCAAGAATAAAGAAGCATTTTTTTATTTTTTATTTTTTGGACAGGAAGCAGAGGTCCGATTGGTGAGACACCTTCCTGACATCCTCACACTCCAGAAGGATCTGGTCAAGAAGTTTCAGAACATCACTGAGCTGACTTATGACACCATCGATGATTTTCTTCAGAGTCACAAATCAGGTATTGAGAGCATGTACACTCGTTGATCGTAGTCTTTTCAGATTTGTGACTCACAGACTGATGATTCTTTTCCAGAAATGACTTTGTAAAATAACTGGGAACATGCAGGATGTAGGCCTGCCTGCCAGGAAACAATTAGTTTTAGCCAGAGAGAGGACAAGGATTGTTTCCTTAAAGACATGTCTTTCACACATAAGAGCTACAGACAATAACAGCCATGTCTAAATAAACTGATGAACAGTCCATCCAGCGTATTTATAGAAAAACAATTTGTTTTCTTTTAAAGTTTCACTCAAAGCCTGGTACGAGAGACACGTCCGAACCTTCCTGACCACTTGGAATCATCTCAGAGTGTCTCTGGAAACCAACGGTAGAAACAAACTCTAACATTAAACTTGTTTTCTTGCTCTGAACTGTGCAACTTTATGATCTCATATGAATTCAAACGCTTTTCAGGTGAGATTAAGATTCCAGCCGAGTTCTGCCAGAAGGACCTGGACGTCAACAGTGACTTTAAGGTGCTGTTGCCACAGAGACAAGGCGCGGGCCTGTGCTCCACGGCTCTCGTCAGCTACCTCATAGCTCTGCACAATGACCTCATCTACTGCGTGGACAAGCACACGGGGGAAGAAACCAGGTGGGGGCGCTCATGTCACATTTATCCTCATGTAGAAGTTTGCAGTTAATGAGGTTGTGTTGAACCTCCTCTGCAAACACAAATATATTTTAAAGGATTATAAAACTATGAGGTTTTAAACAACATGACTTTATATTTAATGTGTTTGTTTCATAGCTATAAAGTGAGCCCTGCAGATCTCACTGATCTGCATGTGATCCGTTACGAGTTAGAGCGGGACATGATGCCCCTGGTTCTGTCCAACACCCAGTACAGCATCGAGAGGGGCCAGGAGACCCTTCATGAATATGATCTGCCCAAGATCCAGCAGCAGATCATTTCCCGTTTCCTGCTGGGCAAACCTCTCATCACCCTCAATGTGAGCACACACTGAAAAAGCACAATCAGTGCATCGCTAAAACTGATTATTGAGGCTTTTTTTTTACCCTCTTATATCCTGCAGGGCATTCCTACACTTGTGAACAGACACGACCGCAACTATGAGATCATCTTTAAAGATGTGAAGGGAAAAGTCAAACAAGTAAGTGATGATTTCTGCAGTCGTTTTCACCCACTTCCCTCATAAACTCCTTTTTAATGGATGTTTTTCTGTCAACAGGAGCCCCTCCAGTCTCTCACCCTGTTTTCTGTGGCTGGAGAGCTGCACTCCTACAGCGAGGTGTGTGAGGCTTTGTCCACTCTGGAGATGGCACTCGGCTTCCTCGCCATGTCTGGGGGGGAGCCTCACATGCAGCTGTCCACCTACCTGGAGGAGGTGCTGCAGATGGGAAACCAGATGGCTCAGCATATCGTCAAGGTCAGCCTATCTCAGACACCGGACTACAGGAAACCGCTCCGTGTTCTCTCTTCCGCCAAACAATCCATCTGGTTACATTTTAGACCTGGAGACGCACAAGATTCCTCTTACTGCAACTTTTTATTCATTATTCAATAATGAGACAATAGAGTCTAATCTTAATGTACAGAGTTTTAATTTGTTTTGTGTCAGACGTGAGATAACGGGCTTCCTTTTTTCGCCCCCAGGCCTTTAGCATGTGTTGTCTGAAGCACTGTGTGGCTTTATGGCAGCTGCTGGCATCACTCAAATCAGAAAATATGCTGCGGATCAAAAAAGTAGGTCATCACTCAGTTCTACCTGAAATTAATTTTATAATAGTGGTGGAGTCGATGGGTTGTAGATTTGTTATTTTTCTGATTCTGTCTTTGGGTTCATTAGGATCCATTTGAGGGAGTTTCAAAGAAGTACAAAGAGACCCTGGGTGAGAAAGAGCAGAGGCTCCTGACTGGTTTCTTCTCTAAGAGCAGCACTGACTCCTTCCTGTTGGAGATGCACGAGTTCCTGGTGCTGGTCCTGAAAAAGCCCAACGCTCCAGAGACCTTCAAGCCTGACTGGGGGTAAAAAGAAAAACTTTTTTTTTTACTGTATTTTGTTTTTTGCTGTTTTTGTTTGCTTATTTATCAATCATGCAGATGTTTAGGTTTTAAACATAGATAATGAGGTTTGAGTATGTAAAACGGAAGCTTTCACTTAAAAAAACATCTGCTTAGTTTGAGTCCAGACCACATTATTCTGGAGTCTCATAAGATAATAAAATATGCAGAATTGTAAAACATGATTATCAGATTAATGACGCTTGATTTGTGCATCAGTTTATATTTTACCTGTCTAAAAAAATCCAACCTGATGTAGACAGAAACTTGAACTAATAGGATTTTTTAAAATAATTTTTTAATACAAATAGTTTATCCCATATAACTGAGAGAATTTAGTAAGTCTTTTTTTTTCATCAATTTATCTGAATCTGTTTCCTGAGTTACATTATGCTTTCTGCATATTTCAGCTCAACTCCACACAATGCAACTGGGTCTGAAAAATGATTAAAAAAATAAATAAATAAAAACAATTTGAAATGTTTTGAACAACAGTTTTGCAATTTGTTTGTTTAATTCATCACCATTATCACATAATAAACTGCTGTTTTTTCATTTAATTTGGATTGAAAAGAAGCTCTATATGAGCTAATGCAACGGAAAGGCGGCACCAATCAAACATTCAGTTTAAGCCACATGTTAAACCATCTGTGTGTATTTGAAGATTATTTGCGTTAAACATTCTTTTTTGTCTCCTAAAGCTTGAAAGTCACTCTGCTGTCTTACCTGGAGCGTAAAGACATGGACGTACCCCCTGAAGTGGAGGAACTCTTCCCAGAGGAGATCTGCCTCTCCCATTACATCGAAGCCTGGAAGTTTATCGTCACCTTTAAGCAGGAGCGTTCTCAGAGACAATGAAGAAAACGTTTCATTACTGCCTTCATTTGATTTGATTTAATACATTCAGTTTACATTTACATTCTGTGATGACAGTATTGACAAATGATGTCTTTGCACATGTTTATAAAGAAAAATGTGCCTTTTTTAAGAGCACTGTTTAGTGCCAAAATCACACATATGGTTCTTTACTGTGAAGATGTGAGGATTAGGTAGAGTTTAAGTCTTTTTGCTTGTTCTAAACTTTTTTATTTTCAGTGTAAAATAAAGAAAATGCGTGTGTGTGTGTATAATGTAGAAAATTATGTGATTCACTCAGGTATCTGAAGGGTAAATCAAGGTATATAAACAAAAATAAATCAAAATGCTAAAAAAGTTAACAGAATAATGTCTTACAAAGCTAATAGAATAATTTTTCAGCTGTTGAGTTTTTTTTTAAATCGTTCAGTTTTTTGAAATCTGTGTCATGTCCATATGTAATAATTGAACTTGCCTTTATGCCATTTTCACTTTTGCTGTTCTGCATTCCAACATTTTTCTTTTTTTTTTTCAACGTTTCCTTATGATGAAAATTGATAAAATGCATTTTGTGTCATTATGTTTTTCAAGTTGGCAACAAAAATGAAGCATCTTCCTCCTCACTGCCTGTGTCTCAGTGCTTTGGTTCTAATTTGTTTCAGTTTGTGTCATCATCATGAAAGATTTTCTAAAAAACAGATTTGGCGTGTTGCAATTTTGACTGACCTGTGATCAGAGAAAAACTTTCTGCTTCTGGTACCTCTGATTTAGGAGAGGACTCAACATTTTTTCAAGTTAAGTTGATTAAAACACTTTTTTTCCCACACGCAATTTTTTTTGTGTCCCTGTGCGGACCGTGAATTGACTTTCATCATTTTCTGGTAATTTTATAGCCTAACCCTGGCCATTTACCCTAAAATTAAGCTCATAGGTACATACCTGACCCTACAGCTAACCTAAACTCAATAATTTGGTCCTAAACCAAACTCCCCAACCAAAATTAGCATCTGTACCCATGAGGACTGGGCATTGGTCCCCATGATGCACATTCAGTCCCCACAAGGCTGCCTCTTTCAGGAAAATGGTTCTCACGATGCAGCAAAATATGCGCACAGACACACACACATATACCGTATATAATAAATTTAACTTCACATCACAGCCTATCTAAACGCTTTGAACTTGGCCTCTGTCTCTGAACCTCCTACTGTTTCTGACACTCCCACTTCAGCACATGTTCACAACAATGCTTCAGGGGAAGGGCGCTCTGTGGGGCAGGAGCTCGGCTGCAAACTGAGCTCCAGGGAGGAGCTTTGTACAAATGGGCAGTGCTTTGTAGCAGCAAGTGTTAATGGCACATGGCTACAAGAGATTCAAGGAATTCTCAAACTTGCATGAAAGAGTCAAAGCAACACTCTGGGTATGTTTTTGATGAGGGAATGACATCGCATGATATGACGTTCTGCATAATTTTGCATAATACTATTTATTTGTTGTAGATGCCCAGTTTTCATCTGCCTCAGCGTAACAGGTAAAACACTCCCTTTTTTAAGAATCATATCCCTAGAAGAAGCTAGATAAAATGCAGTGCTCAGGAAATACTGGCCCTGCTAAAGGTTTTTGTGACTCCTTGACCCACTGCTGGTGGGCGCTCAATGTGTTTCGGATCAGGCTGATGAAAACGATAAGGACGAGAAAGCTGCTGGACAGCTCCTTGATTCAATTTCCTGCTGGCCTAAGTGGTGTTTAGCATAACAATGACAAATGGAAGCCTTTGCTTGTGAAAGTAAACCATGTCAGTGACGATCCTCAGGGAATCTGATATTTGCAATCATCTTTATGCACTTACCTTGTCACTTAAAACGTGTTTACCTGCACAACTTTATCACCTCAAAGCTGAAGAAGTTGGGACATTGTGTAAAACTGCAGGCGATCTTTTCTAAACTGGGATAGCTGTAAAAACGTTGAGTTCTGTCCCACCAGTTTATGGGGAGAACATGTAAGCTCCCCACAGAAAAGCCCCAGGCTGGAAGGAGACCCTGCAACCTTCTCACTGTGAGGTGACAGCTACTGGGTCACTGGCATGATTTACGCAACTCGGCCGAACAAGCTTCACCGAGCAAGTTCAACCAGTTCACTTCCACTGCTGTAAGTTTCAGGGCCAACACGCCTGCAGTACAAAAGGAGGAACACGTTGAGGCCAAATTATTTTCCAGCTCTCTGATATTTTGTCTTTGTTTCCTAATGAGCAGGAATCAGGGGAACAACATTGCCAGGCAATCGTGGTTGCACACTTTGGATCGGGTCATGGGCATTTTTTTTTTATGAACAGCATTCAGTGTCGCGGTTGAGTGCTGCCATAATGTTTAATGGTTATATAAAATGATTTGGTCAAAGCAAAAAAATAAAATGTGAACGTGTTTATTCCTAAAAACAATAAAATGTAATAATTAACTGCTTCAACAGGATCCATTATAAATAAAGCACATTAATTTGGTGTGCTTCAGTGAAGGAACTAAGTGTAATTTGACTCATTATTTTGTATTTCGCTTATTTGGAATGTGATACTTTGACTAAAAAGACCACAACTCTGTCAACTCTCAAGAACTGAACTGAACTGTGGCCTTATTAGTCAAATTATGAATAATATATAAAATGTCATGCACTATTGCAGGATGTCACGCTCAGATTATGTGTTGACTCTTGACCAGAGTTTGTCTCAGTATCTGTAAAACTGCCTGAGTTATAGCCATGTTTGTGCTGGTTATGTTAACTTGCTGAGCAGGCAGACACAAGAGCACACGCTCAGCGGGTGATAATAAACTTTAAATCCTCAGAAATGTTAAATCCTGCTCAGCATTATGAAAGCAATCCCACCTGAGGTAATCTCTTGCATCCATTAAGGCCTCTGGAAAACGCAGCCAGCTTTGGTTTTGAGTCTCTTCTGTGCCTTGAGCTGCAGAGGAGATTCAAGCTTAACCCTTTCCAAAACAGCCTCAGATATCTATCAGGTTTACACCTTGGGGATCTAGTATCAGTCACAGGCTTTGACGCCAGGCAGGCGCTCGCAGCCAAAAGGGGAACAAAGAATTTAATGACTCCGGTATGAAATCAGTACCTCGAAGCACCCGGGAGACCTCTGCAAGCACAGCAACAGGCTACTGTATTTTCTATGGGGCTTTATGCCTTACTGGCGGTCTGCGGAAATGTTTTCTTTAAATTAGCCCTTCAGGGTGCTGCTGTTATTGCGTTATTATCAAATTAGTGTATTTTAATTACTACGTCATACGAAATGTATGTGCCGGTAGGTCACAATGGGGTGAGAGCTCACGAGGCCATGTCGAAACTCCGGAGTTGCCCGCAGCCTGCTGTGTAATGTAAAAAGACGGAGAACAGAGAGGCAGAGAAAAGACTCGGTGAGCACATCTGTGAATTATATTAGCTAATTGTGTGCACTTCTACTCGCACTCAACACTTGAGTTGTCCTCCAAGCAGAAGGAAGAAATTAGGTCGGCTGCTGCCATGTTGTTCTATTAAATATGTGAAGAGAAAATACAATTACCAGCTAAGTGGGAACATACCACATGGGATTATGAGCAGCACAGCATTTTTTCGGGATTGCAAATTTCAACTCTGTGCCCATGTGTGAGGACCAGTTCCCCAGCAGGTTTATACAAAACAGGAGGCCACGGTTAGAGCATCGCATTTAAAATAAACACTGAATGACATTTCACTCTGATTTTTTATCATAAATATATTTTCTAAGCACAAAAAGTAAGGAAATTTGTGTTTGGTATTTCTTTGTTGCAATAATACTTCTTGATATTAAATGTTATAGTGGGCACCTGAATGGCAGCACCTGCGGATACAAAACAAGTGTCAAAAAGAGCAAAATAAGCTATTTGGCAGAGAAAATTTGGCAAATGTTTCATGTGTGCAACCCACATACTCAGCTCTACTGCTCTTCCCACAAATGCATGTTCCTTACAAATGTGGCTCCATTTAAAAGTGAAACTAACAAAGAAATAATCTAGTAAACACCAATTTCTTTAGCTTTTGTGCTACGTACACAAATCAGCTAATTCAGGAGACTTACTTTTCAAAATATTAATATTTGTTTCAATTCAATTCAGTTTATTTATCAAGCACGGTATCACAACAATTGTTGTCTTGGGGCACTGTACACAAACAACAAACAAAAACAAACAAACAAACAATAAATCTAAAAAAATAAGCCATCAGATTGTGTTAAATCTTCACTTCGTCACAGTCTCCCATCCAGAGACAAGTTTCAAGTCTTTGCAGATAAGACACAGATTTATTTAATTCCTTCACAAGCAGTTTTGTATTTGACATCTATGAGAGGCCCTTTAGGCCATAATTCAAACTTGCTCGAGTTTGATAGTAAATGTAAGAGAGTTTGATAGTATGTGTGAGAGAGTTTGGTAGTGATTGTGAGAGACTTAGGCTACGTTCACACTGCAGGCAAATCCGACCCAAATCCGATTTTTTTTGACCCATCTGACTCATATCCGATTTTTTTATGACAGTGAATGAGACCAATCCGATTTTTTCAAATCCGACCCAGGCCGTTTCAGTATGTGGTTTTAAATCGGATATACACTCACCGGCCACTTTATTAGGTACACCACGCTAGTAACGGGTTGGACCCCCTTTTGCCTTCAGAACTGCCTCAATTCTTTGTGGCATAGATTCAACAAGGTGCTGGAAGCATTCCTCAGAGATTTTGGTCCATATTGACATGATGGCATCACACAGTTGCCGCAGATTTGTCGGCTGCACATCCATGATGCGAATCTCCCGTTCCACCACATCCCAAAGATGCTCTATTGGATTGAGATCTGGTGACTGTGGAGGCCATTTGAGTACAGTGAACTCATTGTCATGTTCAAGAAACCAGTCTGAGATGATTCCAGCTTTATGACATGGCGCATTATCCTGCTGAAAGTAGCCATCAGATGTTGGGTACATTGTGGTCATAAAGGGATGGACATGGTCAGCAACAATACTCAGGTAGGCTGTGGCTTTGCAACGATGCTCAATTGGTACCAAGGGGCCCAAAGAGTGCCAAGAAAAGATTCCCCACACCATGACACCACCACCACCAGCCTGAACCGTTGATACAAGGCAGGATGGATCCATGCTTTCATGTTGTTGACGCCAAATTCTGACCCTACCATCCGAATGTCGCAGCAGAAATCGAGACTCATCAGACCAGGCAACGTTTTTCCAATCTTCTCTTGTCCAATTTCGATGAGCTTGTGCAAATTGTAGCCTGAGTTTCCTGTTCTTAGCTGAAAGGAGTGGCACCCGGTGTGGTCTTCTGCTGCTGAAGCCCATCTGCCTCAAAGTTCGACGTACTGTGCGTTCAGAGATGCTCTTCTGCCTACCTTGGTTGTAACGAGTGGTTATTTGAGTCACTGTTGCCTTTCTATCAGCTCGAACCAGTCTGCCCATTCTCCTCTGACCTCTGGCATCAACAAGGCATTTCCGCCCACAGGACTGCCGCTCACTGGATGTTTTTTCTTTTTCAGACCATTCTCTGTAAACCCTAGAGATGGTTGTGCGTGAAAATCCCAGTAGATCAGCAGTTTCTAAAATA